GTGTGTGTGGCTGCAGTGATGGTGAGTAAAGCAGACTGTTAGACCGGCCCACTGGCCTCTGACTTACCGTCTCCCAGCAGTGCTCACGTCACTTGGGTTCATTGTCAGTGTCGAAGTTAAATTACATTCACAGACAAATCTCAGCGCAGCTTCTCTGATGCCTTAAAGTTTTGGGCCAAAAGAAAAAAAGATCACGTGGAGAGAGGAGTGTGAAATTTCACATTTAATCCAAATGTTGCAGATCTTAACAGACAAAACTGACAAACTTTTAACAGCAAGAAATAACTAGGAAGTAATGTTGCTTCATCAAATACAAGCTCATAATTATGAGATTGTCATCCATTATTTTGTATTTATTATTCTTAAGAATTGGGATTTGCAATATATTATTTTTCTTTCTGTTGGTAAAACCTTGTTGACTGTTGTCCTTGATAAAATCTGCTTGAGTCCTGTGGCAGCTGCAGGGATTCCCTCCGTGGTTTCCCATCTGTCAACAAGGCCACTTGTGTTTCTGAGCGTAAACAACCACGTATTGAAGATCAGGTATTTGCCTCTAGTGTGCATATAAATATTTTAGGCTGTAAATAATCAGTAAAATGGGAGTAAACACAAACAGGACTGACACAGCTCCACGGAACGTTGTGAAAAAACAACAACTTTGAAATATTTCTTCTATAAACCTGAGAAACAAAAAACCTCCACGGCAGATCTTGTGTTTGGTGTTTAATCGTTGTTCAAACACCAAACACTTAAATACTAAGGCGACCCTTATCAAGGGATCTGTGACCCTGAACCAATCAGAGGAGGTTAACGTTCTCGTTTACTGTCAGTAGGTAAATGTTGTCCTGTGGAGAGGCTCCTCTCCGTCTCTGCTTTAAGCTGCTCGGTGTTGGCAGCGACAGTGTTACAGCCTGAAGTCAGAGCTGCTTCCAATTGGCCGGCTCAGTCTCCTCATCCACATCACATCCACACTCTCTCTCTCTCTCCCCCTCTCCCTCTCTCTCTCTCACTGCCTCGACTGACGGAGTGTTTCCTCCAATCCCTGCAGGGCCATGTGAGGCGAGGAACCAATCACACGTCGGGGAGGGCAGAGCTCGGCGCCGTCGGCCAGCTCCAGGCAGAGATGCTGCATTTGGACCTCATAGACGGTGCTGACGGTTACCGCGGTGACACCGAGACACTGAAGGCGTCTGCCATCGCACCCCCTCCGGCTACCAAGGACCCTGCAGCACCTGTTACCATGGATACCTACCGGCCCAAGAGACCCACGACCCTTAACCTCTTCCCAATTGTGCCACGCACACAGGTAAAGCCTGCATTAATCTAATACACACACACACACACACAGTTTGTGGCAGATGAAAATTGATCCACATCCAGTCGGAGCGGAGGGAACGTTTCAGTGGAGAAATAAATATGAGATTCACAAACAGAGCTGTGAATGGACGACCTGCGTGACATCACCACCGGCTTCATCACCATTCCCCCTCTGACAGGATTTGTTTACTGGACTGAACAATAGCCTCAGTTGTCACGATAGATCGGTGCCCGTCTCTGTCTGTGTTCCAATGCTGCCCGAGCTTGTGACTCTGTGTGTGTGTGTGTGTGTGT